GAGATTGTTTATCAAACTATTCTAAATATTACTCTGCTGCGCTTTAATAACCAGAATTGTATGTAAAAGAAAGTTTATTATAAGTGGAAAAAATGAAATGTAGTTTAAAAACCGGTGAAAAAGTTTATAGTCGAATTATTTGGAAAATGTAAAACATACAGTTCTTCCACAAATGCTATACCTTTATTTAAAATTGCTTATATTAGAATACTTTACCGAGAAACAATGTTGCCGTGTTTAAAAAGATATTAATACTTTAAAATACAATAAAATATACACGTGCCAGTCGAGACTGTTTGACAATTAAATATATATAGATAAATATATATTAAGTTACAATACACATATAAGAAATAATAAAATACACGCAGAGTGTATCTTATAGTATAATATATTATATTTGTCTGTAATATTTTAACCATCACAAATACTAACAACTACCCAAAGTTCATTAAGCGAGTAAAACATTTTTATCAGATCAAAATAATAATTAATAACTAACTAATAACGAAAAGAACATTTTAACATAAAAAAAAAAGAATATAACGGCTATACCTCTCATTTTGTGTAGTACTACCGCATTATAAACATATTCTACTAAAATGTTTTGTGCTTGGTTGCGATTATGATCGTATTTTTTACGCATAAGCTAACTTCAGAGAAAATTCATTAGTTCCGGCTAATCGATTTTTTTCATAGTGTATAAAAATACTGTTGCTTATATTATATTATGCTTTTGAGGAGTACTCCACGAAAACGCCAGTATCAAAACGGTAGGAAGGGATGTGGCGTGAGTGGTGGTTTCAATAGAAAATAAAGAGATAATTTTTTTGTTCGAAAACGTAAAAACCTATATAATGCGGTGGATACCAAAGGAAAATTACCAACGAGGGTTTTCACGATAAGTAATGAAAACCATAACGTGGAACACGACTGAATCGGATGGCGTCGTTAATAGGTAAATATGATGATACTCCTACCTATTCGTGATCAAAACGGTGGGGCGACAACCATGTTTTACCGTTAGTATGAAGTGGTATTGTCTTGGAAAATACGATACGGCCGAAAACAGCGCGGTTACGGTAGGTGACAATAAACGAATGTTTTCGATCTAGTGTGAAAAATAACGTCTTACAGACTTTGTATGATGCTGTGTAACAAGCAATATTTTGCTATAGGGTCGGTATTTTAAACATGCGGTTTCGATATGGAATACATTTTTTAACACTCGAACGTAAAGACCGACGTTTACGATCACGGGGAAACGGTAAATGGTGATGATACGATAACCCGGTAAAAAAAAATAGACGAACAAAAATCGATACGATCGAAAACGGCATGACCGACCACCGTCGGTTCGCCGTGTCCAAGACGAAAGCTTGTTAATCGAATAACGATCTGACGCAGGGAGTGCTATCTTCATTTAGTTTGTTTATTGAAATATAAACGGGTCTAAACCTATTCAATATATATTTATACAGCGGCATTGGATAAAGAGAGGTGGAAAGGAATTCTAGAAACAGCGATAGTCCTGAATGGACTGCTAAAAACCTAAGTAAAAGAAGAAGTGAATACAACTAACAACCGCAAACATTATGATAAGCAGGTGCCAAGCGGTGCCCGTTAATTGTTTTCGATTCATACACGAGGGAGCGGACCGGCCAGGAAGGCAAAAGGGCAACTACCTCCCGGGCCCTCCATAGTGTCGCATTAACAAAAATTACGGATGTATATATTCGTATAGAAAATTTAATGTATATTTTTAGTTATTTATTTGTATATTTGTTATACGAAAATGTACAAAAAATATGAACTGAACACTATCACCTAAAAATAATTATGAGTTGAAATGCGATGATAATAGGTCCAGTTGATCAACCTTCCCGGGCTCCTCGATACCCAGTCCGTCCTTAGGTCCACGTGTGTACATCGAACTTTTTCCGCGCGATATCCGTTACGGTTAAAATTCTGAAAACATCGTATGAACCGCAGGAATCAGGAACGTTTTAAATTGTTCGCCAAAATCCAACACGCGCGCGGTGTTATATAAATAGAGGCGCGAACCGAATGAGTCGCAACAGTATAGCTGGACCCAGCTGAAGGTTTTCGAGTACTTGGATATTTTTGTGAACTTTCGCCCGTTTACGCACCAATCAGACAGATCAATTGGATTTATAACATTTCTAGGGTTAGGCAATGAGGTTACAGTAAGATCGATTTATTCTTGAATCGTAACCAACCGGCAGATTTCGCGTGGTTACCGAATATTTGTGTCCGGATCAACGCGACACCCATTCTAAACGTGTTAAAAATATTTTATTGGAACGCGAGAGAAATCAAATGCCGTGATATTTCGCGTGTCGTTTAAAATCCGTAGCACCTTTATTCGTAATTCGCGGCCTTTCGTTGTTTACCGATCGCCCGCCCACGAGGCCACGATAACGTGACGACGAATGATATAGCACGAATAAGAATGTTGGACGACCGTCGTAAACGATGCATGATGATGATGATGATGCTGTCAATCGTTCAGCCAACGCGAACATCGAACGACGGCGTTGCGGATAGGCAAACGTGATACGCCGACGTACGCGTGACCGGAACAACGGCAGCTGCGAGACAATATTATTACCCGTAATGCGATTGTTTGCCGACCGCGTTTCCGCCTGTTCGTGTCGACGGTGAAGCGTTTTCTCGTCTCGCCGACGGGTTTGACGTTTTTCCGGCCGCGATAACGCGCGATCCGATCATAATCGCGTCTGACGGATGTTTCGTCTGCGCGTCTCGCGTCGGTCTCGCCGCCCGTCACCTTCCCGTGTAACGCAATAACGTTCATCCCGTCCCCGGCCGAAGACGCTCGCGACGCGTCTCGCACCGTCCATTACCGTTATTGCTCGTCACGTGCGAACCCGTAGGGTAGGATAACGAAAGGAGAAACAGCCGATCGGACGTACCTGTAACACCTTCAAAGCATTGTCTTGACGAAACGTTTCGATGCGTTTAACCAAATCGTAATGCATGAACAATCAAACAAACGTAACTCTGGTCTTTTTAACGTCGCGGGTGCATTAGTCCCAACGAACGCGTTTCCCTTGGATATCGTGTATTTTTCACGGGTTCCTTCAACTGTTTGATGTATGCACTTTTGTAGTCGGGCCTCGTTCAAAACATTTCGGAGGGGTGAGAACACCCGGCATCCCCCGTGCGCGCGCCCCTGCGAATACGCACGTCGGACACGGTACTCGACGTGTTGATTACGAACCAGGACTGCGCAACAATCATCTACGGGCGCGTGTGCACGAAATCGTATTCAGGTTGTACGATTGTTGGTTCGACCGTCACATTTATACAGGCCCGTGGGTATTGTAACGAAACGAATCGAAAAGCAAATCGTCGGTGGTACACCGGTTCCTACGAGCTTAACACATATCTATGTATTCCCAAAGCGAACAAAAAAAAAAATAAAAGGAAAGAAAATCGAGAACCGCCCTACCACGGAGGCTCGTCGTCCGCGGGCACCATGTGTGATGGTTTTTTCACGTCTGCCTCGCAGCCAATGGTGATTTTGATAAAATATCAAGCGGGGGATTTTTTCGGTTTTGTCACTCTCCTCCACCATAGTTACATGTATCCGATAGAGAATTAAATTTGTTTATGATTCTATTTTAAATGAAAAAATTTTCAATTTTTTTTTCATTATTTAAATCAAGGATTCTCAGATTTTTATAGATACTGTACCTTTTTTTATCATTAAACTTCTTTGGGTACCCCTTCTTAGTTAACTAATACAAAAAAATTTAAAAACTTTACTTACATTTTTATATCATTAATAATTAACGCACAAAAAATGTTAAAAAGAAAAAGAGCTTATTTTCAATGAAATTAGTGAGAAGTCATCCTTCATTTGTATTGTTAGCACAGTTGATTAATATAGGGTTCTAATTTAGTTAAATACAATATTAAATCATCTTCAACATTTCATTTGTTTCTATATTTACGTTTAACATAAATTAAACTCGAATAACCATTTTCTACATAAATTATTTAAATTTAAAGGTTTATTGGCTAGACTCAAACCCCTTAAAATATCTTGAGTACCCCCAAGGGGTACCAGTGGTTGAGAACCACTGATTTAAACAGTTAAATTTTAAATAAATAATAAAATATAGTAAAAATCCCATAAATCTGACTATAATCTGAAAAAATCCGATCAAACCCGAATAGCTTAACCTTATGAATTCTAGTTTTAGGTCGGTAATTTTTTTATAACGTATCAATTCATCGTTAATTGAAATTAATCATTCATCCACTGTTATCAATTCAATATTTTGTAACGTTACTCGACGGATCCGCAATAATATTAAGTTACTAAGTGTTAAGTCTGGTACGAGTTCAATAAATATACTTGTAAAGAATATTTTTACGGTATTGATGATAAATTATTTAACATTTAGAAAAACCAACAGTTACAAAAAAAATAAAAGCTGAACGTATATACTGGATGGATACACCCGAAATTGGTGTTGAACCGGAACCCTTATATATGCTACTGAATCGCTTCCCTGTTGGTTTTCCTGTCAACTAGTTGTTTTTTGCAACTTGCGCGTGTACAGTTCAAGGGTTTGCGTGTTCCGCTTACATTATGTTTTTCGTCGTTCGTTGCTTTTTATATTTGCACGTGGTTTTTCGCAATTGGTTCAAAGTCACTTTTAAGTTTTACACAGTAATTATTACAAACACAAAGTGACTAACAAATACGCACAAATAAATACAACCATAATGCATGACAGTTTATTGCTAATGCAAAAAAAAAAAAAAGTTTGAACACATGTCGTAAAAATGATGTGACGTGTAAAAAACACAACGGTTGACATGAAAAAAATTCAAGGGATGGGGTGAACAACTCCTTTCTCCGCTCCCTCAAATCCAAAAAAACAACCGCTGCTCGCAGCGCTGAAGCCTACTGTTACCATCGTTATTATAACATAATCTGTTTACAGTATGTTCGCAGGACACATGATGGTCGGAACTTCGGTGGCGTGCGGCTTGTCGCTGGTCGTCATACTCATGTGCACCATCCCGGCGTCGTTGTCGGCACCTTATCCGATGTTACAAGGGTAACGATACAGCATTTCCATCCATTCGCTCGCGTGGACACAACTCGCGTGAACCGGGCTTGATCCTGACCGGTCACTGGTGGTTTCCTTTCTGGACCGCGTCCCAGCCCCCTGGAGAGAGGAAACTGCCACGTTCGTGGTGGCGAAAAGTCGGCAAACGAACCGATGCAAAACACTACCGCGGTCGGGGAGGGGGGAGGCTGAGGAATAAACAGCATTTGAAAACAAAAAAAAAAATCAACATGGACCGGGCCGGCGTTTCTCGAGGGGGACCTTCGCGCGGCGGCGAGAGTCGGTCGGAGGCAAACCATACACGAGCATTGAACTGGCTCGAGTACGGGTCATACGAATCGCGTGTTCGTCTCGGGACAACGTTTTTCGATCTCAGCGAAATCCGCGAGGGGTTTTACTCGTTTTAAAACGTTAATTCGACATCGTATCCGACACTATAATCGATAAGCGTTGTTTTCGTGTCGTTCGAATTGAGCCAGTCGGTTTTTCTCACACAAGGTACAGGGTGTTCCGGGAAAATGGAAAAAATAATAAAAAATAACCTTCATATGAGCGTGAAAAGATAAAAAAATCTAATTATATAATATTTTATTTTATTTTTTATTTTTCCCTTAAACAGAATGTGCATTGCAAGCGGTCCAATAACGGTTAAAAACTAGGGGTGATCCTAGAACAGATACTTGGTATCGATATATAATTATCGGTAATTTTCAAACCAATATTTGATCCAATACCGGAAAACAAAGAACCACAAGCATAAAATAATATTTTATTATCACAAAGTAGGTTATAGAACAAATAATTTATTGCTCTCAAAAAAATATTAAATATAGGATGAAATTTATTTTTATTTTAATTTTTTTTCTTGTAAACCATTTCTGGGTAAAAAAAACCTGTAAAAAGACTAATAAGTAAATAATTTTTGGTTATTGATTTGTTATTTTTTATTTATTCATTATACCATACACTTGTTTAATACTACGTTTATATAGATGTATTTATGCTTACATTATTTAATATCGGCTTTATCTGGTAGCGGTTTGTGGTATCCCATTAATATTAGTATGGGTTCATGAGTTTAGCCAAAAAAGTTGATTTTTAATATATACATATATACAAATATATATTGTATGTGGTTTGTGGTATCCCATTAATGTTAATATGAGTTCATGATTTTAGCCAAGAAAGTTGAATTTTAATATATACATTTATACACACATATATTTTACATATTGGTTGTCGGTTTTTATCGCATATATCGGAATATCGGTAAAAAGTGGTATCGATCCACTCTTATTACAAAAGTCATACGACTCAATATCAACGTTCGCGAGATGGTGTCCATTTGTATCTGTACCTAAACATATCGCTGAAATCGAACGCTAACATTGCGTACAGCTCTTTGCAATACCTCCAAAATCCCAATTGCCAAGCCATCGGACCAACGGTTATTGCTAACTACTGCGGTTGTGGTGATGAAAAAATAATGAAAAAGATGAACGACGTGCATTGATGTTTCTGACAACTTGCAGTTGAAATCAGACGAGGCACAATCCCGTTTCAGAAATATATACGAACGAATGGACACCGTAAGACGGACGTTGATTCTAAGGCATGATACACTTAACCTGTTGGACTGTTAATATGGCATATTATCTACAATCTGCTATGGATAAATGGAAATTATGTAATTTTTTTTTTCTTTCCTTTCCCTGCTGCAACAATTATATATTCAAATTTTTCCATTATTCCCGGAACACCTTGTGCACAGCGGTTAGTTTAGAATTTTACGTTTTCTGGAATATTGACAGAAGCGGTTAACTGGACACAGTGGTAAACTCAAATTGGAATATTAAACGTGCGGGCATCAAGTAATTGATGACTAATCGTCAATGTTACGAATTAATGAATAAGTCAGAGGCTACATAGAAAAAGGCTCTGGTGCAGTAATTATACTAGGCTCCCTAACCAATTTAATCTTTATACGAAAACTCAAAGTTCTATACGGTTATAAGTTGTTATTTATTTATTTATTTATTTTTTTTTTTTGAATACTTATCATAATAAACGAAAATAATCTACAGATAACTAATAGACGTACAAATTGAAAAGTAAATCCACTTTAATACTGTAAAAAACCTATAGCATGAGTTAATATTCAATAGTAATACTGATCGTAACTGGAATCACCACGTAGTATTTGTGAACTTACTGTTAAATACATTAAGATTGTCAAATATTCCAAATAAATATAGTCTCAAGGATCCCAAAGTCCCCTGTGCTCAACAGAATCAGGGTACTTTTCGATTTCGTCTAGTGATAGCTACGCCACTGGAATAGGTGTACCTAAACGAACGTAGATGAGCGAAAATTCAGTCGGCGCATCGCGTCCGATAAATAACAAAACCGTCGTACGCGACGTTAACCGAACGCGTTTTTACGTGCATTTTATACCATTGCAGGTACGACTTTTAGAAATTATACTTAAGAACGTAATTTATTTCGCGGTACACACATGCACTCACTGGTGGTCCCGAATAAATTAATACGCGAAATAACACGTTTCACCGTTTCGAAACCCGTATGCACCTACGCATCTATCGCAGTGCAACGCTATTGAGACCGTCGAACAGGTGGTGATAGTCTAAAAAACTATCAATGCTAAGAGTTAGACACACGTCAACAACAACAGTCGATCTGTTTTGATGTTCAACGGTGGAATTGTTTTCTATTTTCTTTAAACTGTACCTGTCTAATGACACCGGATTTTTTTTTTTTTTTTTCAAAATCGAACGGACCAAACATATTTTTTTCATTTGCCATTGAATTTCGATAACGCGATACAATTATAGACGGTAAAAAAAAACAACCCACAAAACGTATATTAATTTATACATGACCATAAAAATCGAATAAAATACGTACACCACAGGGCAGTTATGAATCGTATAAAATATGAGTTCAAATAAATTTACAAGTACAATTTTAGTAACGCAAACGCGTGTAAAAACATAGCAACTATTGCTGTTGTTTTATTTTTTTTTACCGGCGATGAAAATAAATAGTTATAAAAATCAATACGACGCTTGTGAACGTGCAATTTTTTTATAAAACAAAATAAAAACAACCACTCAATCCCCGGGGGTGTCGTGTATGTTATTAAAAGTCGATTAACTGTGGCCAGCTGGAAATGAGTGCACGTATAATACGTCCGGACAAAAAATATGAGCAAAGGTATACGGCAGTGTAGTCCGAAACGGTCGTCTATTATACTGCGGGCTTGTTTGATATTATACAACATGTCCCGTTCTCGTTGAAAAAAAAAATTAAAAATTAATTCCTTTCGTGAGTCTTGTTACGCTGTCGCGGCAATTTTCTAATTGCATTTCATGTGTGTATGTGTGTGTGTGTGTGTGTGTGTGTGTGTGTGTGTGTGTGTGTGTGTGTGTGTGTATGTACGCGCGTAGGCAAGATAAAAACCAACTGATCTCGAAGAGCCGGTGAATAGATCCGCAGTAATAATAGTTGAAAAATCTATAGTATGATGAAATTGTATTCAAAATTTAAACACACTCTATATGGAAAAAGTGAGAATATAAACAGTCTTTTCCTCGAGAAAATTTTCCCGGCCGGTTAATGTTGATTAACATAGCTCGAAGGACAGTGTAAGTTAGGTTTGGCGCCGTGTGAGTGCGTGCAAAATCGTACATCATCAAAAATCCAAAAGGGGGGGGGCACGTGTGGTCGGTGCTTCTCGGTGATCGTTATCGATAGGTTTATAATTTGTATCCATGATTCTCAAAATTCCTTCTCCTGTGGTAAAGTTTTGTCCATGAGCAATAATATTAGCTAACAATATAAATTTAATAATATGCATGATAAATAACTAATAAAGTATATTATATGTACTATAGTTAATATATTAATAATATATTATATTGTGTATATAAATGTAGAATATAAGCAGAAAATCCAGGTAAAACACAACCCTCCTTGTCCCCCCCCCCAATGGACACATGCATGCGTGTGTATTTGTGTGCGTATTTGCATTTACGGGATAAGCTCAGCATTTCTGTGCTACCGGAGCAAGATGAAGCGATACCCTTCGGATGGGTCTAGGACATTTCGGCGATAAGCCATTACAATTTAGAGTTTAGCTCGAAATCATCGAATCTCCCATTTAAACGAACTGAATATCATGATAATGATCCTGACCTTTACGTCGATATCGTCAAAATCATCTAGTACCGTCAGCACTAGCTTTATCCAATACATACACGAAACCATCGTATGAAACATACACATCTTTATTTTTCTTAAGAATCATTATGGACAACGTTTCGAAGTAGAAAGTTTAAAAGTTCAAGCATACTATAATCGTATTTTAATAATCGATAATATTCGATGGTTCAAGATTTGTTTAATTAATACAATTGTATACACGGCCAGATCGATGTAACGCCCAAATGACATCGCTGAACTGTCTCATTAATCCTATCGACCGACTTATCTAACCATCGAATGCACCGGACCGGCCGGAAAAGCGTCAAAAACTAATTTCGTAGTCTTTTCGTTCCGTGTCTCGGATTTTAGGCTTGGACGTAAATATAATTAACATAACTTCAAAAACCATGCGTACAGTATAAACATAATGTGTTGCATAGAAATCAATTTTTTCTTAACCTCCCACTTATAAGACTATAAGATTATTATTATTTTTTTTTCTATAACTATAATTAGTCACACTACTGCTATCGTTAGCATGAATAATTCGAGAGATTCTCGCGCACAGTTAGTCCAAACTTCAAGCCAAATCTGTACTATTTATAATTGCTTACTTTAAGAATTGCATTCTTATATTTCCTTGATATTGTCGCAGATATAATCGTAATAACGGTTAAAACCATTCAGCTATATTTTATTCCTTTTGATTCTTAATTGAGAACATTTTTTTAATTATTCGTAAATGATTATTAAAGCTGTTGGTTAAACTAAACCAATGGTCTTAAACGAGTATTTGTAAAAATGTCAATAAAACCTACACAAATTCTGCAGTAATATATATATATATATATATATATAGATTTAAAGGTCTTATGTTCGTGAGTATTATATGAAACTCCAAAATGTCCTACATTAAAATATATATTCAGAACCTTTATCAATATTTTGACAGTTAAAATGTTTACTAAGAACCATCAATCCGATATGACGGACGACAAAATTTCCTTTGTGAAGTTTCGTACGAACACACCAACCATAAATGTCGATAAAATGGCAATTGTACGTTTCCCAAGATGGTTAATGAATAATTAGTAATGATTATATTTTATCATTATCATTTGACATGAAAACGACCGTCGTTAAGTCACTTAATGTAGGTCAATGTATTCTTGATAATGTAGTTACATTCAAACGACGACCAACTTATTAACCAAGTAAATTTTTTATGGCTTTGAAATGCTTGAAAAATTGTACGCATTATTTTAATTTCAATTTTTTTTATATATATATATATATATATATATACTTCCTCCATCATTAAAATGAGCAATTTAATTCGATTTTAAAATAAACGCCAAAGTTGCATTTCAGAAAAATAAAACTAATCCATTATCGAACAAACAGAGGTATCAGAAAATGTGTAAGAGCTTAGTAGAACAATAAAGTAATATATATTTTGCGTATTTCACTCAGAATGTTGCGTTGTAACTTACAGCAACCAGATCAATTTTCATGTTATTCAAGCTGGTGGTAATTTATACATTACATTCTTTGACGTCTGTGATGAAATAAAAGAGAAGAGCGTATATTATCCCTTATCCCTAACTTATTATCTCCTATTCGTATTATGAGCCATCTCACCATCTCTATCTCGCAACAAACGTCTGAAAACATTTTTGGTTATCCTTATTGTATCTCTCCTAATAAATCAAATTTTTTTAAAAACAATAAGTCATATTTAATGTGCGATGCATATGTATTAAAAATAAATAATACATATCAATGATTTAATGTGTAAATACATCGTGTTGTGTTAATTTCAGACAAAACAATGCGTTCTTGTCATCAGAAAACGACGGCGATCCAGAAGTTATGTTGGAATTATTGGCCCGAATAGGCCAAAATATTATGAGAGCAAATGAACTGGAAAAGTAAGCTGAACATATTTTAGTATTTAAAACGTGAACAGTAAATCCGTTGATTTTAAATTGTTTTCGACCGGTATTTGTCCAGCACAAAACGGTGAGAAACGACGGTTCTGTACGACTGGTAACGTATACAAATATTCCGGCGGTCTATAACGGGTAAAGGACTTGATTCGGTAACAGCTCTTTGAAAGTTTCTAAAAATATAAACGAATAAAATAAGCTAAGGGACAAAAAAAATATGTATTATTTCTATTAAAACATTTTAATTGAAATGAAATAATTTGAATGCTATATTATAGAAAATTATGCCCACTCAGCAGGTATTGGATGTATCGAATAAAAAGTATACATGTGTTTTCAGTAAAAGGTATTATACAAAATAAAACGCACGTTATACATAACAGTAATAAAAAGACGTTTTTATAACCGACCGGATACAGGTTCGACGTTCGAGCGAACAACGGGAATCGAACGTTACCTAGTGGTGTGAATACCGCACTGGATTTGAAAGCAGTAGATGTAATCTAAAAACGATTTCTGATTATTGATTTTATGCGTCTAGTAAATTTCATGAGTAAATTTTCTGAAAAACCATTGGGAAATGCGGCAGGGGGGATAGAAGAAGCAACGCGATCCGATATCGAATCAACTCAGTAGTGCGTATTTGGTACACTACTATGGGGCACTGGAGAACCGCCTATTAAGAACCGATTGAATTCGACGGATTATTCAAATATTTAGCGGGGGTAGTTTACCCGGTCGTCCTAGAATTTCAACGGTCTGCGTAAAAAACTACAAAAAATAAATAAATAAATAACTCGAGGATTTTTCCACGTACCAATCGTTGTGATCGTTGGTCGTTCTTTCGAAAACTTCGGAAATTTTTCTTTGAAATGCCGTTAGCATTTACTTCGTTTCGTATTGATGGTACACTAATAAAAACCCTTAAAATGCAGGGCTTTTTTTATGTACCAGCAATTGTTCGATTTCAATATTTGATACTGACCTGAGGAGGAGTGACATTGTCTAAAAAGTGTGCGCTTATGGTCTTAAAAATCGCTCTACCCTTTATCGGCATCTAGATCCGCCACGGTCGCAGCAGTATGGCATGCGATACGAACACGAGAAAAAAAAGAACACCCAAAATCGTATAACACAGTCCAACGCAGAGTAAATACCTGAAACAAGTTGAATGAACAATGCGAGCGCTAGGAATCGTCAACTCCGGTAGTTGACGAACGATCGTCAAAGCGATCGTGTCTGCGAGCTTTCGGTGCTCATGCGAAGTTTTGTGTGCGCGCTTGAAATATCACGCGGAGAAAATGCGTTAAAGTTCGTGCGCGCATGAAAACGCTACTGTTTCGAGTGTATAGTGAGGGTAGGTACTCTATTGATCGACGAAGAACTTGTTTATTCATGAATAATAACACATAGGTAATGAATACAATCTGAACACTCATTCACTGACTGATCAACGTCATAGGAGCAACTAGAACTTACAGTTTGGACCTGCTAGGGTTACGCCCCCACCACTGCAGTCTACTAATTTACATACTGATAATATTTGTCACTATTCACTACCACAGGTTCAGTTCAAATTTTAGCAAAAAGATGAAGATAAAAATATGAAATAGCGCGATTTTGTGAACCAAATTTTGATTTTGGTTACTTACTCCTAAGTAAAGCGAAATCCAAAATATACTGAACGCCAAGTATTGACCGAACTTAATAATTATTTTGTGTCTTAAGATTATAGACATAGATTATTTGATTTTATCTCAATCTCAAACACAAAATTCATTATTTTTATTATTAATTATTCATTATTGATTCATTATTTTTAATATGGTAGGACTATGCCTCCACTAACCCTCCCCCTAAGTGTACCTATGATAAACGTACATCCAAGAATCCAAAACTACCACACAGATTCATTTGAAATAAATTATTGTTACCAATATGAAAATGTAATTATTTTATTTTGTTTATTTTATTGATTACCACTTGAGGTAAATTTAAATTAATACACTATAAATAAATATCATACAACAATTGTGTGTTTTTTCCAGCCAACTATTTTTTTTTCGACACTGAAATAGTGATGATTGATCAAATTTATAACAGTGAAATATCTGCTGGATGAAGCCAAGTATTGGGGCCGATATCTGTATATTTAAATTTTTTTTTTATATATACGCAAGTGTTCGTACGACAAGTTTAGCATGATCGGACATCTATAGCTGGAACAGCTCGCGTGACGAACGAAAACGGCGCAAATGTTCCGACGAGTTGTTCTGGTTGATTATTATTAGTAAATCCAACGATTTATTTATGGGAAATTATAAAAAAGCTTTTTTTCCTTCTTTAAACACTTAACCCTTTTTTCGCCCTCTTATTACTATTATTATATTTGTGCGAATTACTGTTATCCTATTCAAATTCCAGTGTGCGCTACTGTTCAAGACGATACTGCGAGACTAACCATACTATTCCTATACGTTACGTACACACACCATTAGGCAACTGTGCTCTGAGAAGTATTTTACGCGATTCGGGAAAACGGAAAAAGCTTAGAGTCGGATTTTGGTGGTGCCCGATCCGAACGGTAACCGACTCCGTCGTTTCAACACCGGTATAGGAAATCGTTATTCTCCCCCTCCCTCTCCTGACATATATCACGAAAACATGAAACCGACTGTTAAAATGGACTTTTTAATATTTCCATCGGTTCGCCTCGTACTCAATGCAAAAGTTAAGTCCGTCAGTTTTAAATTCATCTCGGACAAGTATAATACTAGGTACTTACTGCAATCAACCACGGGTATAAGGTCAAGAATATAAATTGGAAAGCCGATTCCAGGCAGACAGCAGGCTGCGTTCGATTTCAAAACTATTTTGAACATCCTTATCTCATCACAAGATCACATGTCATCGTCGGACATAGAACACGTCTAAAACGCGTGATGGACAGGGACAGCAAACTGAATGGTACCTGAAATCCTCTGTATAATCCCTTTAATCTTATTGTTCCCGCGCAAATTCAAGCGATTGCACTCACAGAGACATTCAATACACACGCGCTTGATACCCTGACCACATTTCGACTTTTTCGAACGCGATTAGTTTTCGTCGGTTACCGGATGCGAACAAATAAATACTTGAAACTTAAAGTGTGGTTTCTAGGAGATATTGCAATATTACTATAAGTTCGCGAAACACCCTGTCCACGTGTATTTATATAGACAATAATGTCCAAGACAATCTATAGGTATTTAATACAAAAATAAATTAAACTGTATGGGACTGAATATAAAAATATAATAAAAATAATAATGTAATTCAAAATCACATAATATACATAAGACCAAATATGTCATAATTTTTATTAGTTTTTTGTAATTTTAGAAAGAAGTCTCTATGTTTAGGGTGTGCAGTTACATACCCTGCATATCCCCTGCGCACGCCTATGTATATTTTAATGTCGAAACCCTTAGATCGATAATAATTACCAAACAACACTTTAAAAAATTAAATTGTTCACAATTTTATAAATTTCTTTTGAAACACCCGAAATTATTAAATTCAATAAGTTTTTCCGAAAAGTACGAGAAAACAGTGGAATGTGTAGAAAAAGGCTTACAAAATTCATAAATAATGGAGATAGCTGATATTGTATAATTTTCCTAATTCTTGTTAAAAAATGTCATTATATTTAGGTAACAATAAATTGATTAATACTTTAATTGTGATATTAAAAATTTAATTTTTTTAATTGTATAAAAAATTATAATAGTTTTGAAATGTTACATTGTGTTGTTTGGTGAATTATTAAGAGAAAATAGTATTTAATAATAATTAAAAGAAAATGTTTTATTATTTAGGTTATTTTACTAAAAAAAAGGTAAAGTAAAAAGAAAATAATTGTTTATAATATGACAGAGATTTGAACTTTAACTCTCGAGATGTGTGTGCATATGTGCATAAGTGTGAAGTATATGAATGAAGATTTTTTTGGTGGGGGGGAAGTAACAGCTGTCCCGTTTTTTTATTTTCTTAATATGGTCGCCCTACATTACGGTAACAGAAAAAAAACTAGCATGAATCATATAAAAGAAAAAGTTACCCATTAGTAATGCCCAACTTCGAATAGATTATTATTTACATTGTACGGTAGGTACAGTTTTTTTTAAGTACAAGTAGTCGCGATTCCAATTACTATTTGGTCTGTTTGGATGTTCATCAAGGACAAAAATTGATGACATGGTTTGTAGCAAGGGATTTTCTTCAGGGGTGTATTTCGTGTGAAATCATTTGTATTGTATTTTACGTGGTCAGTTACAGTATTCGTTTGTAATTCCACGTGAAGGACTTATTTATCAACCCGAGGGGCTCCAGTATTCAGACGTAATGATATTTTGAAAAAGCCGTATGTTAGAAGGTTTGGCTGGGCCCCGGACAGGGACAGTCGATTCGATAGCATATTTCATCAAACTTGTTCCATAGCTTCAATGACCATGCACAAATTAAATACTTAGAAGAAAATCCCACCTCGTTCGTTTTGATTCCTATTTCGTTTCCATAGTCTTAAGAAAATTCTTTTAAGATTTTTTTATCCCAGTTTCTTTTTTCTTAAAGTTTTTTTTTTTTTTGTGTTTTGTCTGTGAATTCTTTCATAGTCATATAAGAAATTCATTTTATAAAAGTCAACCGAATGTTCATATTTTTAGTAAAGTTCTTACCGAATCTTAAACCCATACTTATATAATATTAAATGGCATATCTCAAGTAAATAAGCGATAAAATTCGAAAAAAAAATAATTAGTATTACAGGATGTTATAAATAGGTACACTTATGGAATAATACAAGACTTAGAATATTTACAAATTGTATCCATAATTTTGTTTTCATACTTAACATAACTATATATATATAAATATATATATTTGGATTATTATGTATAACGATTATTTATTATGATTTTTTTACTATGATTTAAATATTTAATGTGAACAATATGATATTATATTATATCATAATTTTTTTTAATAATATATCATTAACTTTATACTATTACTTGATTTTCTTCACTGGCGGAGTTTACATGAACTCAATTTTACCTGATTTTTTTCAGTGGTGGAGTTTACATGAACCTAATTTTACCTATTTTTTTTTTCTGGCGGAGTTTACAGTAAAAAAAAGGTACTTATGGCGGAGTTTACAAGCGCTCAAGGAAATTAGTGGATCAGAGATGGAGGCGTAGTAACTGCTGGTCTGTTTTGTCTTGATATTCATAGCTACCCTTCCAAATGTTAAGCTCTAGTTGCGCCTATTGTGATTACATGTTTTGGGTACCTACCTATATCACAATTAATTTGAACCGAGAATTAACGGTTATCAACGAGAAAATTAATTTGTATAGTTTTCAATCGATACCTACACATTATACAAGTTGTGAATTAATAATCATAGTTTGTAATCAAATTTTATTTTAACTAATGAAAACATCATACTGGTGTCTATCGGTCACAATCCAAGTATCAAATCTCATAAGATTACTTTTTACTTTTAAAACATATTTACAATTACAATAAATTATGAAAACGCATCATGGAGTATTGCTATAATGGTAAACAATCATTATAACACTCAATACTATAACATAAAAGAACTGAATATAAATACTAGCACATACAAAAACAAATATGATTTTTATCTTATAAAGAAATGTTGCTCATTTTAATTTACTATGGATAATCATTCTACTATTCATAATCAAAATTTTATTATTTATTGTTAACTAAATACCTATAGTTATTCTATCAATCCAAATTTATCAAACCCATTACGATCATCTTGAAAACATAAGTGTATTTTTCTTGTACTTTTATAGATAACTGCCCACAGGAAAAATCAGTCATATCTATAAGTATTACCTAATAGATATAGAACAAATCTAAAAAAACCTGTGTAAAAAGTAAAGTATTGCGTTAATATACAGTTACATATAGGTAGTAGTTATACATAATAGCCTAGAAGAAAATAGTGTTTAACGTACCATACAGTATATTACACGATATTTTGTTAACTACATTAATATTCATTTTTCACAAGTACATAACAAAGAATAAATCATTTATGAGTCTGAATTTATGATTTTTGTATAAACTAATACTAATTTAACTCCTTGTTCTAATTCACCAATACACAAACATAATTAAAAAAACATAAAAATAAATCAATTAAATTCAAACATGAAAACAAATTAAAAAACTTACTGTACATGATTTTTCAAAACAAAAATCAAATTTCAATAAGTACTGGTATGCATACCTAATTGAAATTGTATATGGCACATAATTTAAACTTTATTCATAATATATGACATGCTATAATCATTTTTTGCTACCTAAGAAATACATTAAACATCCAACTTTCCATAGTCAACACAAAAAGAATGAAAATAGTAATATTACTTTATAATATACTGTTTACAAAAGCTAATAATACTCATTAACAGTTTTATAGAATTAAGTATTGAATTAATTATGTTATTTTCTAACAAGCTTCTAACTGGTTCCCCTTTTATTCTTATAATATAGTACTGGGCATATTATAAATTAATTTTTTGTTATTTTGAAGTCTAATGAATTTCTATTTTGATTGAAATAATCAGAGTTAATAATTAACTTTGAGTTTCAAAATAAAAAAATATATAAATATAAAAATAGAAAAATAGAAAATTACGTTAGTTAATACATAAGGATATTATAACATAGAAAGATGTCTTAAAAATTATAAACAAATATGTTATACCAAAAGTTATAATTACATTACTAATGTACAAAACATTTAAACTTATCGAACCTCCTTAAGGAATAACATTTTATACATAAACCAGTGTTCAAGAATTAAACTTACCACTGAGCAAATTTAACTATAAATTAATTAAGCCAAAGATCAATTTGAATATTTTAATTATTCAATATTTATAAAGATTCTATTAAGTCATTCATGTTTTTAATAGATTTAAACATAAATGTAAAAATTTTTAATATTAATTTATATAGTCAATACAAAGAAACAATATGGACAATAAACGGATAATAAATTCTATTTAAAATGTAAATTATATTATCATTATTCATAAATAAATGTTATTTATTTGATTTGTCGATAAATTCAATAAAAATGTAGGTGTAACATATTTTTATGAGTAACTTAACTATTTTATTAACTTAAGTCACATTTTAAATGTGTTTCAGTTCTAAACGTGGTCTTGATCTGGGCTTAAGCCGAGGCTACTCAGGCACACAAGCGGCAAAACACTTAATGGGCATGGCAGCAGCCAATTTTGCTGGTGGTCCAGGACGTCGACGTCGCAGTGATATGCTTCCTAAGCTTCTTACACCTTGAACTTTTAGTTTGTTATAAATTATATCTACAAACAATTATATTAAAATTTATACTAAAATTATATAAATATATGAAATATATATATATATATAATATAAATATATATATATATATATATATATATATATATATATACACATATACATACATATATATACATATACACACATATATAGACATATTACAAAGCCAATGATTGTTTTAAGCATAATCCATCCATTGTTTTGTGAATGTTACCACACCTTCAGTAGAATGTTAACAGATTATAAAAATGTCATAGATTAGCAAAATTGCTTACTGTAATACTTGTATCTTTAATCTAGACTATTGAATTGTAAACTCAATGACTTTAAAGTGTTTATCTCGTATTTTATTTTATGAAAAAATACAACATTCCTGTTTTAAAAACTTTTCATTTTCTTTATGTTTCATACCTCCTGAGTTTCTGGTAAATCATGATGTATAACTACACAAAAATATATACACACATACATGTATACATATAAAAACAACAAAAATATTATTTTTAAATGATTTTAATAAAATATAATATATATACAGCATAGTATTATAATAATTATTATTATTATGATAGATCTAAAAGAACACTACAAAATAAAATATAAATAAAACCAACATAAATTCATACACAAACAATACCTAATATTAAATGCCATCTAAATTATTAGAAATATTATTCAAAAATTGTATCATAATATAGCCTAATGATTTGTTAAAACACAAAACAAAACATCACAATTAATAATAATAAAAACATAATAATTTAAAATAATACTCATCAATATGTAACTAAAAATAGACAATTGAAAAACAAAAATAAAACAATAAAGTAAAAGAATATTAAACAATAAATATTTTAAATGTTTCAAATACTGACTAGGGATCTTTTATGCTCTTTAGACTAAAGTTTTAAATTATTACACATTTAAAATCTAAACATGGTAAATATTGGTAACAAGAATATGATTTCATAGATTGTGCTTCTTAAAAAATTACAAAAAAATAAATTAAAAGTAAACAATAATCATGAAATTAATTTAGGAGAAATCACGAAGACTGTAGATGTGTAGTAAATAAGTAGATAAGTAAAGCGATTATTAAATTATTTTTAGTTTAACTATAACATAAAAATAATAAGAGCTGACACCATTAAGAAAACATAATTTAAGTTAAGTACAAGCTGTTATACATAGATGCTTCTAACTCCGGGAAACATACCCTGAACTCCGCACGAAAAATGAAATATCAGTTAGAGCTTAGTACATATAATTTATATATATATATATATATATATATATAAACAAAAAATACATACATGGATATTAGTATTCTGTCACAAACTTTTGGCAAGCCAATTTAACATTGTATATTAAATAGGTATATAATGGGACAAAATATGTTTTTAAATAAACCTAATAAAATGCTATTATCTAATATCTTAAACTGTTTAAGTCTATTATTATAATTATATTAATTATTATTGTATATTATGTAGAAAATTTACAATGTGAATTCTACAAAAAAAAAATACCACTTAATACATTATAGCATTGCACTCAACATGAAAATAAAAATAAATAAATAAATACATACATGTGTATAAAGAAAAGCAAAATGAAATACAAATTGAATAGTTCCTAGTGATTTACAAATAAAACAACATTAAAAATTATGCAATCATATAACAAGTTAAAAAAAAAAACTTTTTCAATGTCTATACAAAATTAACAATTATTACTCACATTTGTTTAAAAGAAAATTTGTATTTTAACTAAACATAAATAAATATTAAATAATATAAATGTAATTTCACTTCAAAAATTTTATAATTTTACATAATAGATTTACTTATTCAAAACATTAGAATCATTATTTTTATGAAAAAGATTACAACCGTAAGAAAATAAAGAACCATAAAAATTGGAGATTTATCATGTAGCTTCACTAGGAACTATCCAGTTCCAAAAACAAAAAACAAATATGATTAACAATAATAATTACTGTACAGTAATTAATATCAGACAAGCTCTTCAAAATTTATGAACAGATAATAAAAGCAATAAAATCGGACACCTATTGTTCAAATAGCAATTCAATACAAAAGGCACCGATTTTTAAACATAAAATAATACATATGACGAGAAAAATTCTTTACGTATACACTTAAATTATTATTGGCTTAACAAAAATTGTTCTATTATTTTAATAGTTGATTCAACCATCTTTGATTATTTTTAATAAATAAAAAGGTTTGAGAAAACTTAGGCAGTGGTGTACGCAGAGGTCAGAATATACTATATAATAATATGATATAAGTAACAACTAGTAATATTTTTATTTAATTAATTTATTATTATTATTATATATATATATATATATATATATATATATAATTTTTTTTACAAATAACTATATTTCAATTATCTATAATGTCTCTAAAGTCCCAATTTGTCAAAATCTAACAACAAATAAGGATCGAAAGATTATATTAATTCAGATATTGAAAACAAGTTAACAAAAAAACACAATCAATATAAAAAAAATTGTATCTTATCTAAGGTAGAGCAAGATTTTTATATTGTATAAATATACCTAAATATATTTATAAGGATGTAATGTAATTATAATTTATAGTATCCTCTTTTCTACCAGTCATTAAGTTCAATATGATGTAGATATTCACACAGTGATGTAATAACAATAATTTCTGACCCTTGATTAAAGCGATTTCCTGCGAACGCCACTGGCTAAACAAAGCCGTCCTAGTAAAATCTACTAAATCATAATAATATTGATACAAGCAGAATTTCTCAAATACAGTTTGGTCCTCCTATTTTAATATTAATTGTGTACTGAGGTTGCGAAAACAAAATATATAAATGTATCTAAATAAAATAGATAATATGCATACCTTAAAACTCGGCAAACTCTTTGGCGCATTTTTCTGTTGAAGAGATTCTCAATGCTTCTTCTTCATATTCATCGAAATTGCTGGTATCCCCGGGCCCTTTGCACCTGGGAATAAATGGAGCTTCGATTTTCTTTTGGAACACGGCGATCCAGTCTGTTGATGCAAACCACTTATGTCCTTTAATATCGTTGACACCATTCTTCAGGTTACCAAATCGTTTGGTTAGGTCCACTTGTAGCAAGTTCCTTAATAGGTCTTTAAGGTCAGAACCAAAGTGTGATGGAAAACGTACTTTACCCGAAACAATTTTCTCGTATATCTGTATAGGTTGGTCAGCAAAAAATGGTGGATATCCAGCAGCCATCTCGTATACTAGAACTCCAAGAGCCCACCAATCAACAGCTTTATTGTATCCTTTGCTTAATATGATTTCAGGTGCTAAATACTCAGGTGTACCACATAAGGTCCATGTTCGTCCTTTGACACGTTTTGCAAAACCAAAATCAGTCACTTTCAAATAGCCCTGCGAATCGATCAGCAAGTTTTCTGGCTTGAGATCTCTGTAGATAAGGTCAAGATAGTGTAAGTACTCGAACGCTAGCACTATTTGAGCCGCGTAAAAACGCGAATGTGGCTCACTGAATCGGCCAACCTTTCGTAGGTGAGAAAACATTTCACCACCCGGCACATATTCAAGCACCATGTATAAATTGGAATTGTCCTTGAAGTGATATTTCAAACTGACGAGGAACGGGAAACTGATTGCTTGTAATATTCTCTTTTCATTTAATGTATGTTCTACTTGTTTCAATTTCACTACTTTCTGTTTATCAAGTATTTTCATCGCATAATACTCCTTAGAAGCCTTGTGTTGTACTATCATCACACGGCCAAACGAACCTGTACCTAATGTTTTAATACGGTCAAAGTCCTCGAGGGCTGCTGTGTTGGTAGGATTCTTTTTCCACTTCTCCTCGAAGTCCTCTTTGGCCTGATCGAGGAATTCTTTAACGCTCTCGGCAGAATCGCCTTTCTTGTTCGCCGTCGCAGCGTTGCCCATTACTTTGGCTTTTTTACCTTCCACGGCTTCCAACGAACGAGTTGTCATCAACTAATGTCGTTTAGCTGATCGCGTGCTCCACTCCCGATACTAAACGTCCGCTACACAGTCAATGCAACGTTTTAAAAAACAGTCTATAAAATAATATTATACCAGGCTAATCAAGCCTATATTTCATCACGGGCTTACCTCAGAGTAGGACGAGGCTGGTTCGGCGGTATGACGGCGATATTCGCAAACGCTTGGCCACTATCATAGTTGATTAATTAACGGCTACGACAATCGGTAATGGGGATTAAGATCACGAAAATACATAAACAAAAAATGGTCAATAGAAAAAAAATTGATAGGAAAATAATTTTTCCCCTATTTTTTTTTTTTGCCCCGACCAAAATTCTCAAAATGGCCGATCGACCAGCTGCGGGCCAAACGTGGAGGAAACGGACCCGGTCCGGGAAGAAAAAATTACACGTAGCGCCGCCAACGACGGTCCGGGCGCTCCGTGTAACGCCGCCGCCGCCGCCTCCGCCACACGAAGTATCGCTCAACTCTTGCCGCCGACAAACCGACCGAAAACCACCGCCGCCGCCGGTCAACTTGTAACACAACAATGGCGGTTAGCACCCGATCTCTCCTTCTCGTTACCGACGCGCACCAGCAGTTCACAGATTATTCGACATTATAAACGTATAGAACATCGAAAAGTTGTTCAAACTATAGACAGTTCGACGGTGAAAACAATAAAAAACCAGCAATTCGCCGAAAACAGTACCCCGACCGGTCAACAGATGAACACGTCCCGCGGAAATACGAAACAGAACGACGTCGTCACCGTTCTCCGCCGCACGCGTACACGACTCCATAATGGACATCATTGTTCGTACGTTCATTATTCGAGGCGCGTCCATTCCCCCCTCCCCCACCGGCTTTTTATAACAAGAATAAGAACGCGCCATCAATCTCTTTTTTTCACTCTTTCTCTGCCGAAACGCCTTTACGCTTTTGTATTCTCCTAAAACACAACTCGTGTAATCATTATCGGCCGTACCACTTGACGGTGGTTTCACGATTTTTGACTTCTTCATCGTTCTCACCCGTTCAACAAAACCAACATAGCATTTTCTTTCGTTTCGCTTATACAAACGTTACAATATTTCGTTTGCCGCCACGACTCGACGTTTTCGAGTGAACATTTTAATAAAAAATGGAACTATAGAAGTTCCGTTTTTCGTATAATCTCCATCAACCAGTATTTCAAGTATATGCATGGACTTACAACTCTACGTACATGAACCCACAGGTTCAAAAACGTCTCAAACGAATCATCGCTATGCAGTACCTTCCAATACATATGTATATAAGCATCAAGAAATTAACTTTCAGCATCAAATTGTACGAGATTACGAATAACCAAAAACGGACAGCCATAGCTGGCCACCAATTTTAAGAACGAAAGTATATATACAGTAAACAGAAAGAACAGTAAATCTGCAACTAAAGGCGCTTGTATAACTGAATGCGAGTACAGAGAGAATATTGATCCAACCACTTAATAATAAACGGATCATAATTAATGTGACCAAGATAAATTACCAAAAAACCCGTGTAATTAACATTAAATTTCCAAAACTTATGAATTTAAAACCAATTTGTTAATTAACAATTAGTTCAATTTAATTGCATTAACCATTAAGTGAAATAATATAAATATAATGAGTACAATAACAATTTTTAATAAGGCACAATTCATGATTTCAATTGCCAAGAAATATACTTCCATATACAAATGTATTCAAAGATTAAATGATTAAAAGTTACATTAAAAAGAAAATGTATTTAACATAAGTCATTCAAGTTAATAAAATGCATAACTCTTGAGATCATCTAATAAGTAATCACACAATAATAACAATTAAAATAACACAGATAGAACAAGTTTGAGTGGACTATAAAAACAATACAAATAAATAAATATAACAAACTACGTTATAAGACAGATCCATGGACGAAGTTTGAATTGTATATACAATATGTTCATTTTTTAATACAATGGCTTATTGATGAAAATAATAAATAGAAAATAATGAACAAACCGAATCTAAAGCCTTTTTCAAGTTTAATCAATTCAAAATTACACGATTTTATTGTAATCTAGACAAAAATATTAGTCATCATAACCCTGAGGTAATTTTATTGACAAAAAACTTGTTACTCATTACACCTGTATTGTCTAAAGAAAAAAATCATATAACAATTTTTCAAATTTGACTACTAACACATAGGCATATTTGATCCAACATACGGATCATTATATTGTAATATTTAATACATTTGTAGTGTTATCTTCAATGTTTTTTTAACAAATAAATTATAAGAATAAAATAATATTACTGAATACTTCAGAAAATAAACATTAATTGTGGGTTGAAATAGGAATTAAGAGTATTCTAATCAATCATAAATGCATGTGTAAATTCTAGACAATTTATTAAATAAAAGATACAGTACAGTACATTTTTTGGCCGTGCAAGATACACAGCTTTTAGTATTTTAGTATTACCAAAACAGAACTTTGAAAAATACTTTTAAATAATTATAAAATTACACCAATATTATATAATGGAAAAATTTAATGAAATTGTGTACACAAGGGTAAAAAAAATCAAATAGGATGTCACAGATAATTAATACTAGAAATTGCATTATCCTAAATAGGTTTTTTGTAATTACAACCATAGTTTAGAAATTCATTTGACTTTGAACTTAAAGATAAATTGTTTATTTAAAGTAGAATATAATACAAAAAAAAAACCTTACTAATGGGACCACAACAGGTATTTCTAATTTCAAGCTACTTACATTGTAGTTGTGAGAAATATTGGGTTTTCAACATTAAAATTAAAAAGAAACCATCCCTTGACTAAAAACTAGACTTTTGCATAATATAATTTTACCATATCCTATAGTAAAAAGATATAAAATAAAAATTAAAAATTGACCAAATAATTAAGTTCATTAAGACGTAAAAAAAAAACCATTAACTTAAAATTACATTTAAAATTAATTAATTCAAAGTGCCGCAGAGTTTTCGAGTTTTGAGAAAAGGAAACATTTTGTACGTCGTTTTGTAATAATTTGGAGTAGATTTACAAAATGAACATGGAAATGTATAACTCATGTATCAAAAAAATCTACTTCAAAGTCAAAATGGTAGTTGTCATTATAACAAAAGGGAGGGCAGGGTCTAGAATAATTTAATGTCATGGACATTTGTTTACGCTTCGACAAACTGGGGCTCAGCAGTAGCTGGATCTTCTTCGGCCTCTTCTAATTTGGCCTTCTTTTCACTGTTTTCTTCAGTCTCAACTGCAGCTTCTGAAGCACCAGATTTCCTTTTGCATCCTTTTTGGCAACTTTCTGTTTCTTCTTCATCATCTAACATTAAAAATGTATTAAATATTGCCCTTAATATAATATAGTCATTGAAACAAACCTTTAGAGTCCCCATTCTGTTCTTTTTCAACTACATCGTCATCTTCTTCCTCTTCTTCAGAAGCACCATTTTCTTTAACTTCCTCGTCGTCATCTTCAGTTTTGGCAGAACCATTTTCGGCAGCCTTTTCTTTAACTGGAGTTTCGACTTTCTTTGCTGGAGAATCTGGTACTTTCTTTTCTTTTGCTGGAGAGTCTGTTACTTTCTTCTCTGGGGTGGTGACGGTCTCACTAAAAAATTCAGCTTTATTAATAACCTATTACATCTTAAGCCAAATATTAAACATTAAGGCTGTCAACTAATAATGTTCCATTAATAGATAAAAAATATACTATATACTTAAACTCAAGTTATGTAACAATAGATAATAAGATTACTCAAGAAAAAAAAAAAGCATTTACATATGTAGATTAAAAAATGATGACATAAGAATTCTAGCAGGTGGTTGACATCTTTTTAATTTGTTGGACAGGTGTTAATATAGACAGTGGATACGAGCAATTTTCAAATAAACAGGTTTGAAATGTAACAATCTTGCGCCGAACTCATCTGAACATCAATACCAATTGAATCGGAAATAAGAGTGGAAACACGAAAACTATCAAGAAGCACTACGCATAAATAATGATTTATTTTTATCTCAAAACTAATTCGATTTCTACACCGGTTAATAGCCTAATTAATTATAGAGCAATAATGATTACGACGGGCAAAGGGTCAACGGGAGTACGATGCTTTGATGACCTTTGTAATCAAGACATACGGGAATTCAATAAAAAAAAAAAAAGAATAAAAAAAAAAGATGTAAATAGGTATATGTGTACGATGTATATAATCGCATAGATACGGATTTTTTAATGATTTTTTTATTTTATATTATTATTTATTCCTGCGTCCAACAGAGGTCTCGACCCCGCGAACAATTAGCACAGCAGATAAAGAAAATCGATAAATCGCGTGCGGAGACATCATCACCATCGCTCGAAGTGCGCGCGACCGGCGTGGTGCGAAATGTGTCGCCCGACAAGGTCAAACACACGAGACCGTCGCACGGAAAAAAAGGAAAAACCGCGTCCGCGTGCCTAGGTGACCATGTGATTCCCGCACGACCGACGAGTGGCGGCCGTACGCGGCAAAAGAGCGACGCGAGACACGGTAGCGTTTCCGAAGAGTATTTTTTCATTTGAAATCTCAACCCGCAGAACACCGCTTAGGCGGTCAGAGGGTCGCAAACGTCGGAAGAACGACGTGCCGAGAGCAAAGGAGTGCAAGGGAGGTGCGCACGCGTGGACGAAACCGGCGTGAAGTAAAAAATGTTCGGTGAAAATAAAAAATAAAAATAAATAAATATATATTAACAAAACATTAATAAAAAGCGGTCTACAGCCCTAAGCCGCTTCTGCCCTCGCACCGGTGCGCGGCGGCGTCGGGGGTGAGAAGACGACGGGACCCATCGATCGTTCGCGAAAACCGATCATACGGGTAACGACGACGAAATCGAATATCAATAACGGTCGGACGACGGCACGGCCGTGGATCCGATGAACGAAACGCGACTTACCTAACAACATCAGCTACAACGTCGGCCATTGTGTTCGGTATTTTTAGCGTACGACGGCGGTGGAAGAGCGAGCGATAAGCAGACAGGAACTGAGTTGCGCGTTCGGTAACGGATTCGGGATAAATAAACCGTGAACGAGCGCGACAAAGAGACGCGGCGATTCGCGAATGAGAGGACGCGGCGGCGGCAACAATGGAGGGAATGCAACCGGACGCCGTGCGCGGCGCGCGCCCGTACTATCGACACTATCGTTTATCAAACTATCGATAGTCGTACGGGCCGCGTCCCGGGCGGTTCGTCGTAGTTCCGGCACCCCGGGACGCGAGCCGTGGTCGGCAAGGGACGGACGGACAGTCGTCCGACGTACCGGGACGTGGAAATCTACGTGCCGGCCGCTTTCCCGGGTCCCAGGGCGCGGAAATCGTACGGCCATCGATGGCGATTTCGCGGTGCCGGTCGGCGTGGGTGAAAACCGTTAAACCGGCAGGGCGCACGCGCAGTGACCTCGATCGTCGCGGCCAATCCGGCACGGCGACATCCGGCCGGTGTGACCAACCAAACCGCGCGCCCGGTAAACAACGCGGCAGTTGGCGACCCCGGTCGGCGTTAATCTAACCGCTCGGCAACGGCGCCCGCGCGTTGCCGTCGACGCGGTCCCTCCGCCCCGCTTCCGAACCTGACAACGACGCGTCGCCCTCCCGTCCAATGGTTTCGCTCGCTTTTGAAGAGGCATCCCGCATATCGAACGTGCGTTTGAACTCTTTGAACCGACCGTTTTGCCCGCCGAGAGGGAAAATATTAATAACAACATCACCGTATTATTAATAATCGAACAGCTTTTACCCGTCCATCGCCATCTGCCCCCTGGTCGACACCGCCACCGCGTCCGTCATCATACGGGCCGGACGCACCGCTTAATGAAAATATCGGAATATTATTTTTAAACGCGTCGCGCGCCGCGTCGGACCCGACGAGAAACTCGTGGAACAACACGAACGAACAATATCTCGTCTACCAAGTCAGCCATGACGTTTTTCCCGTTCGTTCCGACACGGTTTGCTGCGAACGACGGTACAGTCGACCGGTGGTCGTTCGCGCGAGAAACGACAACGGCAGGACCGCGGCCGAAATCCGGCCCCACGGGCGCCCGTTCGTCAAGAACACGCAGAAACGTCTTGGGCGCCGAAAACCGTCCTCCCCGCCCATCCGATTGCGTTTGGGAGTTTGACGCCCGTTCGCTTACTCGCGTACGTTTCTTTTCTACGGTATCCTGCGAAAATTATTTACGCGTTCACAACGCATCACGTCGCACCGAGACGAGAAGTTGGAGGTCGGCCGTGACCGACGTTAGTCAATGTATTTCGAAATGGTTGTAAGCGGACGTACTCGTTGACCGACATCGTCGAAGTCATTGTTTTCCTTTAAACCGGGGAAAGGGGAGCAACGTTGGTTTTATTCTTTTGGTTTTTCTCGCCGAAGGCCGCTAAATGTCGAAGGGGGCGGACGTGTTTACGCGTCGTAACGGCAATACTTGCGAGCGGCCACGACAAAACGCCGTGTGAAATCGTTTACGTGTTTCATAGGCGCAACAACGCGCGGTGGCGGAGGAAACGAATACCTTGCTCCCCGTGCCCACGTCCTCCCGCGCAAACATTACCCGTCCGCTGCGGCGGCGACGGCTATGTTTTATATTTTTCGATTTTCTAGCGCGCGTGACGCATGTGTACAGTTGCGTGCGGCCGCGCGCGCTTGTATTATTTGGCAGGGCAGCTGCCAGGACTCGTGCCAGATGCCGCGCGTTCGCGACCAGAAAAAATAACGATAATGATAATATTTCGTTTTCGAAGATCACAAAGGACCCATCCGGGTCTATAATCGGAAACCGTCTTCCGCGTGCGCGCGCGCCACCTGACCATGACGCCGTTCCCGGTGATCGTGCCTGACAACGGTGTATGGCGAACCGTGTTCGGACGGTCGCGCCGACTCTTGTAAAACATAATCGCTGTCTCACCAGACTTTCGATCTGAGTATTTTTTTTATTTTTTTGAAATCATGGACGTTTTTCATCCGGATCGCACGCGGCACGTGCAACATTATCGTGTTGTACCGCGCCTGTAAATACGAATAGCAAATGCTGTTCTAAATCATTACCGTCGGCCACACGATCTATAAATAGTCATTTTGCCGGGGCCGTTATGAATTTGTTAGACGTAACGGAGGCGGACGTGAAACGCTCAACCGACAGTGTAATCGGCGGATTTTCGATGGAGCAGTTGGGACGGAATTAACAGAATATTAAGCACGGGTGTCATTTTTCGTCGCAATTATATAACACTCGCTGTTCAGTGGCTATACGAATTAAGAACGATAATGGTTTTTACTTCTTTGTCAATATTACTAAAGAATTTTAATAAAAACAGTTAAAATCGTTAGTATCCTCCTAATGCTTCCCTACCGATTATTATATTAGAATAAACGCAACGCGTTCATTTTACACCACCAACCGTCGTGCCTTGTTACGTTAGCCCGTCGTACGGTTATGCTGAAAAAAACGAAAACCGTTTTTTTTTCACGTACAAATATCGAAGAACCATCTTTTCCTAACAAGCATTTTTAATACGACTCCTCCCCGTCGATCGGAATCTCCGTGCGTGCCGTCGGTTTGGCCGCGTCGCAGAATGTCGAGTCAGCCGAAAAAAAACAGAAATCGCGACGTTTTTTAGCATTAAATATATATTCGTAAATACACAGCGTTATTGTGTTTAAATATAATAATGTGTTGTTACGCACAATGGCGAGGAAATCGACAGCGGCGGCCATTGTACATCGGCACACACGATGCCGGTCAGTGACGCACGTGGAAAAGAGTGGGAGAAACGGGGTGCCGCAACCTCGGGGAACTCATTTATACAACCGCACGGGGGTGGGGGAATTTGGTCTGACAAAAATTCGGTTTCTCGGGGCACCTTTTTCTGGACCGCTCGTTTCGACCAAGTTTTCGAATCGCAATGGCACCGTGGTCGGAACGACGTGCCCATTATTTAGGAAACGAAAAACATTTGGAAAAACGTTGAAAACGAACCTAACCACGCAGCTCTCCGTCCTCGGAATAATCCCCTCCATCACCCACCCACCGTGACCGTCATCGTCGAAAATAATCGTCATCATCACGAACGAGCCGACGCGCGCGCGTACGGTTGATAGTGTACTTCGACAAATTAACCAAAACCGTATTGTCTCGCAATGGCGTAATTTTTTGTTGCCAGCCGCGATAACCTTTTTCCGGACCGTGCACAGAGACATTTTAGACGTACCGCGGTCGTGACTATGTAATCAGACCGGTCTGGTTCGTGCAATGTTCACGACGGCGACGTAGTTCACTTCGGACGGTGGGCTTGGCGTTAGTTTTTCCTCGTCCGCCTCCGACACGACCAGTTAGTGGTGGATTATAAAAGTTCTGTTGAGTAGACGCGTTCCTATCGACATTCACAAAATATTCGTAGAAGAAAATGAAACAACATCGGCGGAAAAATCCTCCACAAAGTTAATGACAGATTTGAATAAGAAAAAAAACCTAGGAGAGGAATCGTGTTGAGTTCGATAAGATCGTAATGGTATATTCATGTTTTCGAAAAGCTTCCACATTACCATGGAATAGGTTCATTGTGTTATTGTACGTGGTACATTCACTACGCGATTCGCAATATCCTTTTATTTTTCTCGTCTATACATAGTTTTATATATATATTGTTACATTATGTGCAAATTACATTACGGTACCATCGAAATGAATTGATTTTTCATCGATAACGAACACTATTCAATTACATAACGATGTGAATCGGTACTGATCGTGGTGCATAGTAAATCAGTCAATAAAAGTTTCTGAAGTCAAACTGAATGCCGTGTACGTGCTCATTGAATAATGTGCAATGTCAGAGATGATGACGAATTTTGGTAATAGTCAGACGCGATAGTGCGTCAATTTTTTCGGAAAAATAACTATTAAATAGTGTTCCGTTCGCGTTTAAACGACGATAACGGACAACGAGAAGATTGAAAACACCATTATGGTTGATGGAGGCCAACAGTTGCAAGACTCCAGACGAAATTAAAGAAGAGGTATAAATGCTTAACGTTCATCATTATGGTTATCGAGAAACACGGTTCAGCATGTCCGGCACTTTGGTTAAATTAGGCAGCGTACCAATTGTACCGCAGTCTTAACGGTTTAGTAACATCTTTGGTTTCATTCGGTAAAATCCTTGGTTGTAAAAATTATCTAGAACCATGGTTACCTCATACCCTTGTTATCACTTATTAAAGTGAAGCAACCATCTCGCCATGCAATTACTGATTACGCGTTTCCATGATCTATGAATTCAATAGTTAAACCATATTTATTGAATAATTATCTGTCCAATTCGATCTCCCATCAATCAAATCAATGGCAAACTGGTGTTAAGTAACGAGTAAGTCTAGGCTTCATATTTATTAAAATTTAATATATATTCTTGAAACTTTTTGTTCATTTAGATAATTTTTACCTAATTCTCAGACGAAGCCGATTAAATTCAATAAAACAATCATGAGCTCTGCTGATGCGTTGTTAAGTCAATGTGTTTTGAAACCAGGATTTCAAAAGAATTACAAGGTACCAGTAAATGACAAGAGCTCAAAAATTATCAAAAGAGATAAAAAGAGGCAAGAAGCTAAAACTAAAGGAAAAAATTGGTTTGATTTACCAGCTACTAAATTAACAGACAGTGTACGACATGATCTTGACTTAATCCGTATGAGATCTGCATTAGATACTAAACGTTTTTATAAAAAGAATGAAACTGAAGCTTATCCTAAATACTTTCAGATTGGTACAGTTGTAGATTCACCATATGAAGGTAAAACCGGTCGTCTTATCAATAAAGAACGGAAACGTACAATGGTTGACGAACTTTTAGCAG